TATGTAATGTATATATTTTCTTTTTTTAACACTAATAATCAACAGATGGCGCCACATATTAAAGAATATGTACTGTATTAAAATATATATATTATTTTAAATCTTTACATTTCATCAGTAATCATTTTTTATTTAATAATTTCATATAGAAATTACAGAGGAATTTTATCATCAAATGAAATTGAGATTAATTTAAGAATCTATGAGATCCATGTTATGCTATATCTTATTTGATTAATTTAAATTATTCTCTGTAAATATTATCAGCGTATTGGACGAACTTTTACTTAAAAAGGTAAATAAAATAGCAATAAATAAATAAGATTTAAAAAAAAAACTTGTTTTCTGACAGCACAATTGGCGAATTGTGGTTCCATCGCTAAAATCCTGAAATCAAGGTGATCGTTAAATTAACATAAATCTTTAACACAGTCTTGAAATGACCTCGAGTATTATGTACACGCTTACACACTACTAAAAAATAAATAAATGTAAACATGTCATTCCACCGAATTTAAAAACATAAAAATAAGATTGATAAAAATTAAACCTAGAAGATAAATTAGGTAAATTATATCGATAAGAGACCGGTATAATTCCAAATGATAAGAGAAGTTATGGGATTTTTTTTTCGACATTAATAACACAAATGATACTGTACATCAAGAAGTGCTGTTTTGTTATTAAGTCGACTCCCTATCGAGCGGTCGTGCAGATGAACGCCATGTAAAACTGGATTTCTTTTTAAGTTTTTGCGTGTAGAATCGAGCGTGAAGTACGAAGACGTCGATTTGACGTAATTTTGCTGCACGCTAGATGCTACACGAATTTAAATCCTGCTTAAATCTCGAGATCGAATCTAGGTTGTGACTTTCTCGTTTTATAATTAATTAATGGCGATCGCCGGCACCTCGAGGAAGAAAGCTACGAGTATCGTCGTAATAGGATTCCGCGTTAGTAGGATGCCAGATGAGTTGGTTCTCACCTTTCATTTCGAGCGGACTTGATGGACGTTCCTTTCGGGCCGATTACTAAGCAAATGACTCACTTTTGACCGGAAAATCGATCTTTTATAAGTTGAAAAAACGTGATTATTTCTCGTCTTTAACAGATGTTCTGGATTTTTTAAAAATCTTTTCCACTCTGCAGATACTAAGAGGGCCTTTTCATATCTTTCGACCAGATCCACAATGAGGCGGCCGAAAAGGGGGTCCGACACATCTGGAACGAGTCTATGAAAAATTCCTGGTCTTTTTGATCTCTGATCTCCCAGAGTACTGGCTGAATACTTAACTGCCTCGGCTATCCGGCTGTCGATCGAAGCAGAATATTCGAAATCACTTATAGAGTGATGACATCAATTGAACGAGATGCATAATGAAAGGAATAGTCAGGCAAATAGCAAAATGAAACATCTGGAATTGTTGAAAAAATCCCAAATTACTTATAGGATATTTCCAAATAAAGGAGGGAATGACCCATATGTCACAGAAATAGGAAATAATTTGTTCGGTTGTACAGTACCTATCATCTTTATATTTACTATTATTTAAAAGACAATAATATATTATTTTAGATACCGCAAGTGCCAATAATGCGGTACCATTCTAATTAGGTGGAAAACAGTTACAGAAACCAACAATGTTCAGTATATGATAATTTTCCAATCAGCTTTTATTATGATAAATGTTTCAGATGATGATATATTGTATAAAAACCGTTATCAAGCGATTTTACTTTGCTACTTAACCGATTCCTTTGCAAGAATTGGCATATCCTCTAGATTGGAAAAAATTATTTTTCTTGAAAAATATTTGGTTAAGTAGCGAATTAAAATCACTTGATATATTGTATAAAAACCGTTATTATCGTCTGAAACATGTACTGTATTAAAATAATAACTGGTTATTTGAATTTTGCAATATAATATTGTAGAACGACATTCTACTGAATGAATTTCATTTTATTGGTCGAAGATAGTTTGAACAGAGCAGAAATTTCTTAGAGTAATAATGGAATCATTTTTTGTACAGTCTCAGAACATATAGACTAATACGTAGCCTATAGGTAATGTAGTAAAGAAAATTTCCAATATCTCTTATAAAGCGAAAATCTCAAATCATATATAGAATATCAATTACAGTGGTACTGTACCTCAGGATAAGAACGCCCCAGCATACGAAATTTTCAGGATACGACATGAAATTCGAACATATTTTTGCTCCACGATACGAACAAAAACTCACCATACGACGTTACATTAGTTCGCATTTTTCATTTGTTTTTCTTACTACAGTTATTTTTTT